TTTTTTTTGTTTTAATTTTCGCTTTTCTCTGTCTAGAGGTAATATTTGTTACATTTTCAAAGTGATAGTCAAATACTTGTCTTTCTTATACCACTTTCTTTTTAATAAATCACTGCCATTCAGTAGTGTTCTTACTATTGTAACATTGAAGAACAACATTCATATTCAGAATTCCACATTTCTGTATTTTATAATGTGCAAATATTGTTTTGTGAGAAGGCTTAACTTTGTCCAAACTTATTTGAAATCATTGAGCCTAAACACACATTTAGTATAAATGTTTTTGTTTTTACAGGAGCCAAGCAATAAAAGAGTCCGACCTCTAGCTCGGGTCACATCCTTGGCAAATTTAATCTCTCCTGTAAGAAATGGAGCAGTCAGGCGCTTTGGTCAGACAATACAGGTAAAAAAAAGGTTGAGAGAGTAATGTGTTGAGGGGATTTTTTTTATAGAAGTCTAAACTTTGGATTTTTCATTGAGCTGTACAAACAGATTTGCACTGTTACTTAAACATAAGTTTTCTTTATGGAATATGCTAGTAAGGTATACTGTTACCAGAACAATATTTGTATAACTTACAGTTTATATCAGAGGGTAGGCTTGTATAGTTTTTATTCTCCAAAAGTAATGTTGGCTGATAAATGTTTTAGAGTGAATGATTGGAAGTTGGATAAATTATATTTTAACATATTGAGAAATCTCAGAACTTTGTTCTTAATTTGACTTTCTCTGCACTAAAAAAGAAAAAAAGACTATACCCTCCAAATCTTACTTTCTCTTTTTTTTAAAGTCATTTACTCTTCGTGGTGACAACAGATCCCCGGCTTCTGCCCAGAAGTCATATAGCAGATCAACAGTCCCAACACCTACCAAAAGAAGAAATAGTGTCCTGTGGTCTGAGATGTTAGATGTCAATATGAAAGAATCTTTAACTACCAAAGAAATCAAACGTCAGGAGGTAATGCTGGCATTCAACAATAAGACCATGTTTTGGATTTCATTATACTTAAAAAAATTCCAGCTTTTTAAACACTTGTTTTACTAGAAGGGCAGCAAACTAATACCCATAGCAAAATAAGCTTGCACTTTTTATTTGTGCATAACACATGCTGATCAACACTTTGTGATTGGTGGTCATCAAATTAAACAACTCTAAATGCGTTAGGCACTACACCACCAGAGCTCCTTTGAGAAAGGAGTATTATATACAATTTTACATTATTTAACTGATGTTGTTGTTATGTGCCGTCGAGTCAGACCTGACTCATAGCGACCCCTCCTTGGGTTTCCGAGGCAGTATCACTACGGAAGTAGGATTGCCCAACCTTCCTTCCGAGGAGTGGCTAGTGGGTTCAACAACAACAAATGGGGTAAAATTAAAAATCATGAGATTCCATACTGAATTACAGTTTTCAGGCTGAGTCACTCAAAAAAGAAACTGTTCAAAACATCAGTTAAATAATGTAAAATTGTATATAATACTCCTTTCTCAAAGGAGCTCTGGTGGTGTAGTGCCTAACGCATTTGACTGCTAACCAGAGGGCTGGCGGTTCAAACCCACCAGCTACTCCTCAGAAGGAAAAATGGGCAATCCACTTCCACCTGGGTTGCTGTGAGCCAGATCTGACTTGACAGCAGTGAGGTTATTTTGTTTTGTTTTGTTTTTTTCCAAAGGAAGGAATGACTTATGATGTTTGCTGGATTTTTTTTTTATTTTCCTAAAGGCAATATATGAAATGTCCCGAGGTGAACAAGATTTAATTGAGGATCTCAAACTTGCGAGAAAGGTCAGTGAATAACTTCTGTGTATCGTATACTCTGTTATTGTTAGTTGCCATGTGTGCAGAGTAGGACTGCTCCACAGAGTTCTCAAGGCTGACCTTAAGAAGACACCTCTGGATGGGATAGCATATGCTTTAGGTTTTTTTTAATTACATTACACAAATTCTAAAAGATATTTTTCTTACTTTAGAAGTAGAAGAGTAGAAAATATCTACTGTTGAATCTTTTTTTATTTTTTTAAATGAGGTTTAGATTTCTTCTAATATGAGTGTTAGCCAAGAGTCTGTTTGGGAATTAACATATACTGTATTTCTTTTATAGTGACAAATAGATTCCATGCTAGCTTTTATATAATTAGTCATGTTTGCATCAAAGTATAGATCTGTCATCATGTTTATTGGTTTGATCTTTTTGTATGACACATTTTTCCCTCTATGATAGGCCTATCATGATCCCATGTTAAAGTTATCTATTATGTCAGAAGAGGAACTCACACATCTGTTTGGTGATTTGGACGCTTACATACCTCTACACGAAGGTTAGATGTGCTATTTAATTTTCATTAGTGCCTCAACAGTAGTAACATAAATATTTAAAATCTAAACTTCTAATTTAATGCTAAATTATTTTTTAAATCTATTATTTAGTATTTATTTCTGCTTTTTCACACTTTAGATTTGTTGGCAAGAATAGGAGAAGCAACCAAGCCTGATGGAACAGTGGAACGAATTGGTGACATTCTTGTGAACTGGGTACGTAGTGAGCTGTTTACTCAGGTAGTTTTGGGCAGGTATCAGCAATTTGATCCATTTACTGGGTTCCACAAACACACAAGGCTTTAAAACTAAACATTTACAAAATATATAAAAAAAGAAAGGAAAAAAAATACCTACACGTTTACATCGGTGAAAGAGTTATGGTCTCTGTTTCAAAAAACAAATCAACAAACCTAGTTTGTGAATAGTACAGTTTTATTTGTTTTACATACATGATATCTTTCTCTCCGGACAGAATTTCCACAAGATATGTCATTAAGTTACCTTAAGTTATTTGTTTCATTCTTTCACTTTGCCCTTTGAGTGCCAGGTGCTAGGCACTGTTCAGAGCTAGGGATTCAGTGGTAAAAGACAGTCTCTGCCTTTAGAATTTATGATTTAGTGAGAGGGAAGTTCAGGTAAATAAACCATCTTGAGATTAGTGATAAATGTGATAGAGGAACTCTCAGGTGTCCTGCAAATTCAGAAGATTAATTAGCATCTGACTGAACTAGGGTTGGGTAAGGAGAAGTCAGGAGTTTTTAGTTGAGTTTAGCCAAGAAAGTATGTTGGAAAAGGGTGTTCTTTTCCTGGCCCAGAATACTTTCCTGCTCCCATTATCACATTCATGAAAATGTTCAGAGCTTGCTTTAAAGTCAAGATTAGTTATGAGTTTGTGTTTCACAGTCACAGTTTTAATAATGGACCAAATCATGTCAGGAACTTGCAATTTGTTTTCTTCTATTACTCTTCAGTTGCCAGGCTTGAATGCCTACAAAGTCTACTGTAGTAACCAGCTAGCAGCCAAAGCTCTTCTTGATCAAAAGAAACAAGATCCAAGAGTCCAGGACTTCCTCCAGCGATGTCTTGAGTCTCCTTTCAGTCGAAAACTAGATCTTTGGAGCTTCTTAGATATTCCTCGAAGTCGTCTTGTCAAATACCCTCTACTGATAAAAGAAATTCTTAGACACACTCCAAAAGACCACCCTGATGTTCAGCTTCTGGAAGAAGCTGTAAGTAGTCCAATGAATGATTCTTGTGTTCTTTTTAAGTTTGTGTGTTAGACTACCTTACAAAAGTATAAAATGGTATTCTCAAGTCTTAAGTACATTGAGTTAACATAGTGACTTTTTTGGTTGTTTTAAGTACCCATCATAGTTCACTGGGCACTAAGCAATAAAGAATTACAGAATAAGTGAGATGACTTTAGTGTCTCTGTGGAGACTCTGTAATATTTGTGTCATATTGAACACATTGTATATTGTTATTTTAACCAACAGATTGAGTTTTCAATCTGGTCTCTTCACTAGCTAGCTGTGTGACCTTGAAGCAAATCATCTAATTTGGTTGGGCTTGTTTCTTCATCTGTATCATGAAGAGACTGGCTGAATTAATGTATTTCTAGAGTTCCTCCAAGGAGCTCTGGTAGTGTAGTGCCTAAGGCACTTGACTGCTAACCAGAAGGCTAGCAGTTCAAACCCACCAGCCACTCCTCAGAAGGAAGGTTGGGCAATCCTACTTCTGTAGTGATACTGCCTCGGAAACCCAAGGAGGGGTCGCTATGAGTCGGAGCAGAGCTCCTCCAAGCTTTAAAATTACTTAATTTTAATGTGAAGTTTTTGCCCTTGTAGGGAAACAGTGTAAGTTAACATACTGAAGTTGCTCCATCAATTTTTTAACAATTGTTAGGTATTGATAATACAAGGAGTTCTCTCTGATATCAACTTAAAGAAGGGAGAATCAGAATGCCAGTATTACATTGACAAACTGGAGTATCTGGATGAAAAGCAGAAAGATCCTAGAATTGAAGCAAGTAAAGTATTGCTTTGTCATGGGGAATTGAAGAATAAAAATGGACATGTAAGTATATTGAATACTAATGTAAAGTAAGCTCTTTATCTTCCTTTTCCTACACTATTTAATTTATCCAACACACATTCTGAAGCAAGTTTGTAAGATAAATTAATCACAATAAAAGAAGGTTACAGTTTTTTTAATTTTATGTTACCAACTTTGATAAAGCAAACATTAGGTTTCTATCATTACAGAATATGATGGCCTCAGTGTTTCAGTGGAGAATCAGTTATATTTTATTTTTTAGCTTTGAAACATAAATCAACTTGGCAAGGGGTCCCTTTCTAAATAAACTATTAGTTCTGTAACAATTTTTTAAAAAGAATATCCTTCCAAAATTTATTTTAAAGAATTTACTTTCCTAGTGATGAAAGGATTTTTAGGACTACTAAACAAATTTCTAAAGCAGAATGAGTGAAAGTAAACTGATTTTAAAATATCTAAATTATGAAAGGACCTGCTAGAACTAAAGTATAATCATGAAATGGTATTTTTGTTCATTGTGAGCTTTTCTTTTCAAAAGCCTGATTTATGTGGTTTAGGTTTATTTGGGAAAAGTTGAACTCTGATATCTTAAGGTCTAATTGTTCCATAAAGGCTTAAATTTGTGTGGGACAAATTAAGCCATTAACATTTTCAGCAACTTGCATTTTTTGATCTCTCCTTTGTTAGAAAACTGTCATACAATACTGGTGTTTCAAGTCATGTTATTGCTGATAGTCAGGTCTTTGTGGTGTGTAGTGTTTACTTAGCTGTTGCTTAATATAATGTTATACACCAGTTTAAAGAAAGAAGTTTTACAGAGTCTGAGATTATTAAACTTTCCAAGTAGAACATGCTTAACCTTGAAATCACCATTTTTATGAGATTATTTATAAGAGAAATTTTAGTAAATAAATTTGATGAAATTAATAATAATCCTGTTTATTTTAATGTATCTCAGTCACTTAAAAATCACAAAGTTTCATATTAGAAAGCCTTTGTTTCTCATTTTTCCAGAAGCTTTACATTTTCCTATTTCAAGACATCTTGGTTTTGACTCGACCTGTTACACGGAACGAGCGTCACTCTTACCAGGTTTATCGGCAACCAATCCCAGTCCAGGAGCTGGTCCTAGAAGACCTGCAGGATGGAGATGTAAGAATGGGAGGATCCTTTCGAGGAGCTTTTAGCAACTCAGATAAAGGTAAAGATGAAAGCTTAAAGTTGTTTAAATAAACCAGCTCAGAGCCAGCATGAATTTAATTTTAATCTTTAATTCTATACCTAAAAAAATAGAGAAAAATAGTGTTTGACATGGAAAATTTTTTTTTAAAAAAAATTTGTTTATCCCCACACAAATAATTAAACATGGAATGGGTTTCATTGCCCTATACTTCTTATGCATGAGCACTCAGTCAGGTGCTTCATTCCTCTGATGCCAGCAGCTGTATCTGATAAGTCACGTGTAGGCTCAATTTAATGTATCTGCCTAGTAGACATTGGTGTGACATCAATCCAAAGACCCATATTGAGCTTGTATAAACTTTATTTAGAATAAACTTTTTTTCCATTTTTATGTTCCCAGCTAAAAATATCTTTAGAGTTCGCTTCCGAGACCCTTCTCCAGGGCAGTCTCACACGCTGCAAGCCAATGATGTGTTCCATAAGCAGCAGTGGTTCAATTGTATTCGAACTGCTATTGCCCCTTTCCAGCAGGCCACCAGTCCAACAGAGCTTAAGGATCTGCCAGAGCTCAATGAAGAGTGTGAAGAGAACAACCTCTCTGCATCAAATGCCAAAGCTCAGAGAAGGGTATCAACAGTGTCTAGTGTTATTCAAGTAGAAGTTGATGAAAACGCTTCAGAGTGTGGGTCCAGTATGCAAACAACAGAAGACTCCAAGAGTGTAAAATCGTACCGAACACAGTCTGGGTTCCGAAAAGCAAGGGACAAAGCCCAGTTAAGTGGCAAACGGAAAGAGACTTTGGTGTAAGAAAACACTGTATTTACTGATGGAGAGACT